GGGGGGGGGGGGTCTAGAATTCCTTGAATGATAGGTCGCAGATGTCTGAGCAGATGGATAGACACGTTAACAAAAGAAGAAAGAAGCAAAAAAACGCAACTCGTTAAGATAAAAAGAAAATACAATATTTATTCGAATTTCCAGCGACAATAACAAAGAATATGAAAAAAAGCAAATAATATGAAGAATAACAAAGAAAATGAAAAAAAGCAAATAATATAAGACGCAATAATTGACTACAAACGAGAAATAAAGGACGACGGGTAAAATAAACCAATTTTGTCTTAAGCGATGAAATATATCTTATACGTATTTTTTATATTTTTTAATATGCTGAATCACTTGTAAATGTTAATTTCATGCTAAATTGATGAGAAAATATTGAAAATTGCATTCAAAGTATCATAGTTTCGTCGAAATCTGAACAAATACATAAGAATACATAACATTGTTTTACCTTTTTTTTTCTCTTTCTTTTTTTTCTCTAATACTTCCTACTTCTCTCCTCTACTCTTACTTAATCTAACATCACCCATCCTGATATCTTCTAATCTCACCCAGCCCAATCTAACTTTAATACACAATATAACAATTAGGTTAGGTTAAGTGATATTAGAATATATGATTTTAGGTTAAGTAAGAATAAAAGGATGGAGTAATAAGAAGAAAGAAAAAAAGGTAAAAATATCATGTATTCTTGAGTTTTTGTTCAAATTTCTAAACTATACTACTTTGAATGCAATTTTCAATAATTTCCCACCAGTTTAGCTTGGAATTAACGTTTGCAAATAATTCAGCACATCAAAAAATATAAAAGAACATTCATAAAAAAAGTTCCATCGCTTCGGCCAAAATGGGCCTATTTTACCCATCGTCCTTTGATCTTCAGGAGCGCTGTACCGATGCTCACTAAATCTGCCCGTAATCTGAACACTCCTTTATCGATGAAAACACTTTAAATGTGGTTCCTCAGCCAATCAACCAATTCTAAGCTACTTTTGGAAGTACTTTTATCGATAAAAGGGAATTCAGAATATGAACCAGTACAGCTCGCGAACAAAACCACTACGCGCAACGGACGCCACAACAAAGCTAACCGAAACTCCGCGCTCGCGAAATTCGCGAGACACCATCAAGAATAAGCTGGCTCGCACACGCTGCCGAACGCATAAGACTAAATGAAAATTCGTACCGGAAAGAAACACAAGCGAAGAAAACGATATTCGAGAACAAGATACGAAATACGCTATAATCATGCGACAAATCAATGTTTTGCGTAATATAAGCGCGATTCTCTACATTGAATGCGATCTTTGCTACAATCCGCAACTCTCTTGAATTGTGAACGCGAACCGAAACTGACGAGATTATTAAATATTCGCGACAAGCGCGCGATGATTATTATTATTTAGGGACATTGTAAGTATAGATTTACTAGCTATTTTCTAAAAAAATTAGGGGATACCAAAAAATATGTAAGAATCGGAATAAAGTAGAGCAAATCCGCCTAAAAACCCGTCAAATGTATTGGTTGGTCGGACGATCACTCATCGGACGATCACAATTATATCATAAAAGAATGCTTTACCTTGCGATAATCAGGCCGATTTGGACTTACGGGATTCAGATCCAGGGATATATGAGGAAGTCAAATCGAATGATGATATAACATGTACAAAATAATATTATTCGTATCATCACCAACGCAAGTGGTATCAACGTAATGAGGACCTGCATGTGGGTCTGAACCTACCATCTGTCGATGAAACTATCAAGGAATTCGCGATATCACACGCAAAGTTAAACATAATATGTAATATATTATGTTTATATATAACATATATAACATAATCAATATAAAAACCATACAACTACTAAATATTACGCATGACTTGCGACACTTAAAGCAAAAGAAACCTCAAAATCTGACCTTGTAAAAAAAGTACAAGGTTCAATTGTCATATATAACTTCGGTGGCCAGATAATAGAGATCCGATACACGTTTTTACAGCTATTTGCCAACAGTATTGCTTATTTAAACAGTGGTTTAAGATTGCAATAACCATAATAGCAGTAAAAAAGAAATTGGAATAAACACATAAATCCAAATAATCAAACCTGTGCTAACAGATTTCGAGCAGAGCCTGTCACAAATTTTTTATGGCAGAAAGACAACGAACCTAACACAAGTTCTGTTCTACCACATTATGTTGCCAAACTGCTGCCAGAAATGCGACAGAGCTTGTTGACAGACAATGCGAGCAGATTGGTGGCAAAAATCAAGCATATTTTGCTGCGGGCAGTTTGGCCGCAGGTTTTGCGCACTTTCTGCTGCTAATCTGCTCGCATTGTCTGTTAGTAGGCTCTGTCGCCAAAATACAAGCTTAATGCGAACACAGATGGTTTTGGTGTAGAATTCTGATCAAATTTGCTGCCAATCTGCATGCAGTCTGCGATCAATTTGTTTAGGGAAATGTCTTATTATATATTTCTAATACAGCATTTGTAATAAATGAAGATATCAATTTGAAAAACGCTGTTTTATTACCCTTCTTCAATGGAATAAGATATTTAAAGGTTCATAAAAAATAATTATTAAAAAAGATTAAAAATATATTAAGTAACATTCATTTTACAAGAATGCAAAGTAAGATTAAATCGCGATCATACAAAGTTACTAGTATTGATTTAGGATTATAAAAAATAATTTAGTTTTATATTTCTTCATTGTATTATATAAATATATATAACATAACAAATATTTTTAAACAAAATTATAAATTTACAAATTATACATTTTTAACAATATAAATATTTTTTTTTATGTTTAACATGAAATAAAAAGTGTAATTTAAGATAATCATTTCATTTATAATAAATGTTAATGTTAACTGTAAATGTTAATTATAAGCAATAAATATAAATATTAGATAGTTAATAATTGCACATTTGTCTATTTCTCTAGACATTTTTTACGATTAGTATTAGATGTAATGTAAATATTGCTTAATATTTACTGGGTATGAGTATACATAACCTCAATTTTCAAACTTATTATTATTTTGTTTTCACAATACGAACTCTTATTATACTTGACTAATTTTATAACATAACCGGTCACCTAGGATCGTTTTGTATCTCAATATGTTTCTACAGACTTATATTATGAATAAGACGGATCACAGTATATTCTTGTTGCATAGATTAGATCTCTAATGTCCAAATGAAAGATACATATTGGTTCCCGATCAGTACAAAAAATCCACTGTGATGCGAGCTTCATTTTCTAACCGCTGGGGCATAAAAATACCCCAGGTGACTTTTCCCGAGTTAATGATGTGTCGTTATCGTTACAGTTCGTTGCGTAGTTTTTCTGCCATATATTATACCTGTGCAACGACAATGTAACGGTAACGACGCTGTCATTAACAGTCACAGAATATATGCATTTCTGTGAGTAGGAAAAAGTCTATAGAAACAGACATACATTCCGGATTATTTATAACTATTTTTAAGAAATAAATAAAAACTGAGTTAACATTTTGGGAAACTATAATTTTTTCCAACTTTTATCAATTATATTTTGCTTTAAACTGCTTGTATTTATTTTTTTCTAAAGTGTGAAATAAAATTGTTGTCTAAAGCGTTTTTTTTATATTAGGCGATTTTGTCTTCCCAGCGTGGCCCTAAATTGCTTTTTTTAACATTGCAGTTATTCGAATCAATATATAAATCGAAATATTGAATTATTTGATTTTATGTCGAGCGTAAAGTCAACCCGCTGAGTTTGTCAAAAGAAGGGTCGACGGCTGCAATTGCCTGTTTTCAGGTAGCCGCAGCCACCAACCGCAGCCATCATTTATAGCAACATTTTACAACAGCACAATTCCATGGTCCAACTAAGCAACAATTATCTTTTTTGAACTTTTACATGTTATTTAAGCCAAAAACACGAGGGAATCAAAAGATAATATAAGAAATATATGTAATATAATTATCGTATTAAATATAACTCATCCCGCTCAGAGTCCTACCGCGATGACACCTAATAACAAACATATTATTGTTAATTATTTTTCGTATATCCACTGTGCTCTTCTTCACATTACAACGTTCATGATGCTCTTTGTCACCAACATCAAAATTTGACATTACATGATGGCTAACACGAGAAAAATTCAAGTGTTCCGAAATAGATTAACTTACTCTATTTCCTTCTCGGTGCGCAGGCTCAATGAGGCACCAATTACAAAAATAAAAAAATTTTCATAATAAATACTAAAGCTACACTTCGATATTTCGTTACACGCAATTACGCTCAGAGAAGCAACAGCGACGTCGTAACGTTATATATAAATATATATATATATATATATATTATATATAAAAATTATATATATAAATAAATATATATTATATATAATATATATAATATATATATATATATAAATTAAGTAGAAATACTATTAGCTTAAAAATAATTATAAATGATCCGGAATGTATGCCTGCTATAGCATTTCTACTTAATTTTTATAATATTTTAAATGTACATAAAAAGTTTAAAAAATATTATAAAGCATAAAATATGATTCCTTCCCGATTGAAAAGTTTGAAAAGTATAAAAATGATACGCTTCCAAACTCTAAAGCGGATTCTGATCCGAAACAACGTAACAAGTAACACAACAAGAATTTAAGTAAGCTGATACTTCAGCATTAATTTCAAACCAGCCTCAAAATGCAATAATATCGATATGTATTTTAAATATAAACGTCACCATGAAGTGGGTTGTCATTAAACCGGATGTTTCCTCTTTATATGTCTCATCATGCTGCATTTGCGATAAGTCTTGTAATTGCAATGCGCACAGCATTTCTGAACGCAAGTGGGCTTCACATGATGTATGAGATTATGTTTCCAACGATAAGACTTGCTGCAACCCAAGCATTTATATCTTCCATCGATTGGCTCCAGATTTTCAAGTTTGCTTGTCAAATTTAAAATGTTTGTAGGATTACGAAGAGTACCTGTAATCAAAATCACAATGACAATTTAATTAACAATATAATTTCAATATCCAATTTTTCTGCATACGAAATAAGTACAGAACAGCGCTTTCGATGCGAATTATTTCTTCAAGAAAATAAACTTCTTATCCCGAAGCTAAAGAAACGCCCCATATCGTTCACTAAACCATCGCGTATATATTTTACATTGAGCCCTCCTCTTTATTGAATCGAGGAGATCTTTGCTGTAATATCGTAAAGTTGATTTGGATATAAAATATGTCTCCGCAGCTTTCGTCAGAGTCATCCCATGGATGATGGCATCGAAGGCCTCCATCAAATGTTTCGGTACGCGTTTTTTCTTTTTCATCGGGCGGGTCCTCCGCATAGATTCGGGTATAAGCTCTTTGCTTAATCGATGTAAAGTCGATCTGGATATAGTGTATCTGCTCGGCTTTCCTCAGAGACATTCCGTGGCTGATGGCATCGAGGGCCTCCATCAGATTTTTCGAAAGGTGTGGCTTCCCATTTCGAGACCAGATTTCGGAAGCACGTATTTCAGAAGCAGACGTTCCAGGATCAGGCGTTCCAGACACGGATCTTCCTGAATAGACTGTTTTTGAGTCGGCCGTCTCTGAATCAGACGTTTCTGAAGCGGGCGGTTCTAATTTTATCGTTTCGAAAACGAGCATTTCTGAGCCAGGCGTGTCATAAATGGGCAATTCTGAGTAAATCGTTTCTGAGTCAGCCGTTTCGTACGGTTCTAATTTTACCGTCTCGAAGACGGGCATTATTGAAGCAAGCGTTCCTGAAGGTGCCATTTCTGAAACACAAAGGAAATGCGAATAAAATACATGAGCTTGCACGAGCACTGAGAGACGACAAGTCGGACAGAGTCCTCTTCTTTGCACGTTATTTTTCATGAAAAAAGATAAACGAATAATTAGAAATGTGAACCATCCATCAAATAATCCAGGCACTCGACAAACGTCAAATCCAAAATAATTTTTGCTCATTTAGGCAAATAAAAGAAACATATCTTCCATTGTGCTTTTTTATAGATTTATTACTATACCATGGAAATTATGGAGGGAGAATATGAGATACCTAGGAAAATTCGTATCTTTTTCCTGTTTTTATTCGATCTGGTATATATAACTAATATTACAAATTGCAAACAACGGTATGAATGCCAAGGACTTCTTCGCACGACTATATAGGGTATCCCAAACTAATCTCGGTTTCCGTGGTGTGCAAATAGAACGGGTAAAACTAAGCAGAAGTCATGTATCATTTTGCAAAATTTGCAATAATTAGTGAGAAATTATTTTGTCTGAGCTAATGAACACACGGGAAAGAGCAGACCGGACATTATATTAAAAAAATAGCTTACTTCTAAAGATCTACTAGCGACGATGAGCATCAACTGATTTTTAAAGGCGAAGTAACGTAGCAAACAGCGAACAGTATGTGATACAGGGTTATATGCTGAAAAAAAACAAACCTCTCACTATTAGCTGATACTCATCGTTACTGGGAGATCTTCAAAAATAAGCCTTTTTTTATACATAGTCGAGCTTACTCCTTCCCGTGCACTCATTAGTTCAGATAAAATAATTAATCCTCACTAACTATTGCGAATTTTGCAAAATAGTACATGACTTTTATGCTCAATTTCATCTATTCAACTTGCACACCACGGAAACTAAGATTAGTTTTGGACCCTGTATATACACCCTGTATATAAACAATATCACAAGTTCTAAATAATAAAACGATACGAATTCAACACGTAAATTTGTATGGACAAACGATACGTTTTCGTTCAAATCAAAACGATATTGTTAAATCGGAAACAGATTCCATATCGACGCAACGAATCAACAGATTTGACTACATAGACATACGTAGACATTTTATTGAAGAACCATGGTCGTTAAGTGTTAATATTATAATAATAATTGACGTATTAATAATATATATATATATATATATATTTATTTATTTATTTATTTATTTATTTATTTATTTATTTATTTATTTATGTATATAATACTAATAATAATATATTTATTACGACATATTCTTAGAAGAATATGCCATTCTTCTTAATACAAAGTTCGACCTATTGTTCTTCATGCAATAATTAGCTTATATATGTTAATTTGTTCCTCATTAACAACTGCGATTTTTGAA